TTTTGATATCAATTCCAATGTCTATTCCATTTCAACAAAAGGAGCAAACAAAGAAAAACTCGTGCTTCCAAATCTCAAATTAACCATCATTCAAGAAGCCATTAGAATAGCTTTAGAAGTTGTTTACAAGCCTCATTATTCCAAAATTTCACACGGGTGTCGAAGTGGAAGAGGACACTCATCAGCTCTGAAGTACATCCGTAAACAAGTCTCCAATTCCAATTGGTGGTTCACGGTGATAGTCAACAAAAAAGTTGACGATTCTACCCTTTCTAAACTCATATCAACAATGGAAACCAAGATCCAAGATCCCAAACTGTATTCTTTGATTCACACCATGTTTGATGTTGGAGTCTTGAATATGGAATTTGGAGGCTTTGCAAAAGGCCATGGTCTTCCACAAGAGGGTTTGTTATCTCCAGTTTTAATGAATGTTTATCTTGACCTCTTTGACTATGAAATTCTTAACTTGTCAATGAAATATGAAGCTCTTGATAGTCAACACGACGGGTCAAAGTCAAAGTCAAAGTCAACGCTACGTGGCTGGTTTAGAAGACAAATGAGTCAACAAAACGAAGGAAATAATACATCAGGAGTTAGGATACATTGTTGTAGATTAATGGATGAAATTCTCATTGTTGTAAAGGGTTCGAAAGAATTAAGTTTGACTTTAAAGTCAGAGATTGAAAACTTCATTCGGGAATTTCTACACTTAGAAGTCGACAATAAGTCGGATATTTTTCCATGTAATGATCCTCGAGGGGTTAAATTCAGTGGCAATATTGTAAAAAAGAGCATGAGAGAGAATCCTGCAGTTAGAGCAGTTCATAAGTTAAAGGAAAAAGTGGAGTTATTTGCATTACAAAAACAAGAAGCATGGGATGAATGTATGATTAGAATGGGGAAAAAATGCTTAGGTCATGGATTCAAGAAAGTCAAAGAGTCAGAAATCAAACATCTTGCTGACTGTAATTCAGTTTTGAGCCAGGTGTCACGCTTTCGTAAACCCGGAATGGAAACCGATCACTGGTATAAAGTCTTACTAAAGATCCGTATGCAAGACATGGATTCGAAATACACCGACACCGAAGAATCCATCTTATCAAAGTTAATTACCGAAAATGCCCTTCCCCAAGACCTAAAAGACTCGTTTTACACTTTCCAAAATCACGTTAAAAACTACGTTTCTTCCGAGACCTCATCCGTTCTTACCCTTCTCCCGGAATCGGAATCGGAATCGGTTTCCATTACCGAAGTTCTTGCCCCGATAAAGGCTATAAGAATGTGTCTCCAAAGGTACGGAATCACCAATTCCGAAGGAATCCCACGCGCGTGCCGTATGCTTATTTTACTAGACCACGATCATATAATCGATTGGTTTTCCGGTTTAGTGTCACGTTGGGTTAAATGGTATCGTTTATGTGACAATTTCAATGAAGTGAAACATATTATTAGTATACAAATTAGGAAATCTTGCATTCGTACATTGGCTACAAAGTATAGATTACATGAGACTGAAATTGAGAAGAAATTCGATTCCGATTTGAGTGGAATCCCGTCAACCGAAGAGATTGAAAACGAGAGATTGGAATGTGATGAGGGATTGATGTATGGGATTCCTTTTAGTGGTTTGTGTTTAGTGTCTTTAGCAAGAATTGTGAGTGAATCTAGACCTTGTGGTTGTTTTGTGTTGGGGTGTAGGGTGGATGCACCATGTGTTTATACAATCCATGTAATGCAAAGACAAAAGTTTCCTGTTTGGAAAACGGGATTTTCGACTTGTATTCATCCGAGTATAAACGGGAGGCGAATTGGGTTGTGTAAGCAGCATTTGAAGGATTTGTTTATTGGTCGAATATCTCTTCAATCTGTTTCTTTTGGTGCATGGAAGTGAATTTGTTCAACCTAATTGTAGGTTCAATTTTGTTGTTATTGGGACATTATTATGCATATGAAAGTTTGTCAAATTATAGCAGTGAAAATTGATTTTTTGTATTTGGATGAGAATCATGAGATTGCTAAAATTGTAATGATTAAACAGGTCAGCATGTATCTTTTCGCAAGAATAGAACTTAAAAGTTAAGAGGAAATGAATTTAGGTATAAAAAGATAGGTGGCTAAATCATACATTTCAAATAATTACTTGTTATAAAACATTAATAACATTGAATGAGTTTGATTGTTAAACAGATAAAAAAACATGGGAATTTCCAGTGAGAGCAATCCCACAACCATCACTTTAAGAATGGAACAGATTCTGTCGATTTGCAAACATTGCGTTATGTCCTCTGGCTCTAATGTACTCCTGCAAATCCTTCATCATATCCCTCTAAATCATCCAATTTCATATCTCTTTCCTATCATCCATTTCCCTCTCTGGTTAATCCTACTCTTTGGAACCTCATCACTATCACTAGTCCACTTCATAGTTGAAAAAAAAAAAACCCACCCAAAACAGAGCAACTGCCAGTAGTTCTTATGGGATTCATCATGAGGGTGTTGTGGATCTCCACCATAGCCACATTTTGAACCCAATCCATTAAAATTTCACGAGTGTTGAACACCTAATGAATAAAAATACATACATGCTCAGTTTGAAAACTTGTCATATGATTCAATGTAATTGTTATAAGGACATAGATATTTGAAGAGTCAATTCATTGATGTTGATATATGAAGAGACAATTCACTATTACTACTTCACTATTACTAAGGACATCTCTACAATTCACTATTACTAAATACATCTCTTCAATTTAAAGACAAAAAATAATTTACATAAATGGTCCCTAAAGTTAAAGATAATTTATATAAATGGTCCTTAACGTTAAAGTCATTGTTATTAACAAAATTACATAAACTAATGAACATCATGTTTGAACACATGATGACATTAATAACTCGTGGTCGAACGCATTCAGTCAACAACAAAATTGTTAAAGACGAAGATAATAACTCAAAAATTTTAATATAAAAGACAAAAGACAAAAACAATAATAATTGAAATGGTCTGTAGTAGGCCGATGTTTTATAATCATAGATAAAAAGTATATGGTTAGTCTGAACCAAAAATAATACATTATAGTTTGAATGAAAAAGTAACGTATGGATAGTCCAAACAAAAAAAAAATAACACATGGATAGTCGGTACGAGAAAATAATGCATGGATAGTCCATGTTAATTATCAAACTACAAGAACTATTACCAAGGGGTTGTTTGTTGTTTAAGAAACCCACTTCTGGCTACTATGTACAACACAAACGCAACAATTGGTATTTCACAACTGTTTGTTTTTTTAAAAGATTTCTGACTTAAAAACGGTTACGTGTATGTTGCATGGCGTAGCACTGGAAACTCCTCTTAAAACCACTTTCCACTTTACTTTAAGTTATATTATTCAACATCGATTTGTTTTAATTTTTTTCAACAATATGTGTATTATTTTAATACTGTTATGAAGGATATTATGAACAATTCAAGTCTATTTTATATAATTTCAAAACCATTAGTGTAAATTTCATATAAATATTTTTTAATATTACATTGTCTATAACCAAATATTAATAAACTATAAAGTTAATCACTAAAATTACCAAATTTATTGAAGCTAACCAGAAAAACAATCATCACCTTCGAAAATTTAACAAATTAAACACGTTATTCGTTAAATTAACAATTTTATTTATTGTTATTTAGCAAGTATTATGTTTAATGATTTTATATAAACATATTTAAAAATCATATCATCACAAATGTTCTTTATATTTAATTTGCATATGATTAAACTAAATAAAAATTTGATTTAGAATTATTTTTAAATCAAACCAACTTCTTATTACATATTTCATACGTTGGTCAACATCTTCTTGTTTGATTTAAACCAAAATGATTTTATTTAAATCAAATCAGTAGATTTTAGTATTTAAGTCGAATAAGAGGGTATATACAACAACATCTTATATGAACCGCCAAAAAATATCATATGAAGAGGGTATAAAGATTTATATCAAATCAATGATAGCAATCAAGGTTATAAAAAACTCACCATAACATGTCATAGTTCTAAGGTTTATATTTGTCATCATTCTTTAACAAAATAGTGTCTTAGATCATATATGTATTAATGTATATACTACATAAAATTGAATTATATATATATATATATATATATATATATATATATATATATATATATATATATATATATAATACAAAATTATCACGTTAAGTCACACCTTACAAACAACATGACTGATTATCGTAAAAGCTTGAGGCTTAATATTGTTGTTAAGTCACGTTTAACGTTATTTAGAGCATTGATAACAATATAAGATGAAAAATCATTTCATTTTGTTTCTCAAAAGTCAATGAATTTGTTTTTGAAATAAAACATATGCGACCAAATTATTTTCATTGGAACAACCAAAAAAGGACTAAAATCACTTTCCATGAGATACTTCTTGGTTTCCTTATTCTTTTTTATACATTTTAGCAAATAAAGGCTTAATTTGCACCAAATATAGTTAGAAAAACTACACTTGTAACCCTAGAAGAAATGAATAACTTGATTCTAATTCTTAGAATATATCTAAGGACCCATTTGTTATGAACTACATATTATAACAAAACACATCAAACTACACTTGTCATGCATTAGACTTAGGTGATGTTTGATTTTCTGAAGCAAAAATTCATGAAGTCTGCGGACCACCTCTGCAACCTTCTGCAGTAGAAGAGGTGGACCAAACGGCTGCAGACTATAATAAGAAGCGTGTTTGTTTTTTTAACATCTGCATACTGCTGCAAATATTAAAAAATTAAAATAAACTAATTTTATAAACCAAAAATAACTTTTTAATACGTAAAATTTAATAATGTATAACATTTCGGTAAAAATTAATGATATTTTAGTAAAAAAGAATGATATGTCAACAAAAAATAAAGATATTTTAGTAAAAAATAATGATATTTCATTAAGAAATTATCATTATTGAATATAAAAAAATGAAAAATAAATTCAATAAGAATAAACGAAAAAAAAAACGAAAAAAACAAATGTGAAATAAAATTTTAATAACATAATCAAAATTTCAGCAATAAAAAAAAAAAAAGAGGTTGGAAGAGGCAATACAAGTGTTGCGCCAAACAGAGCACACGCAGAGGTTTTTGATTCAGAAAACTTCTAAAAAACAGACAGTTGCGAGATGAAAAGTGTTGCGCGTGTGCTGCGCCACGCAGCAGTAAGAGGTTTGAAGATGTTTTTTCCGAAAATCAAACACCTTAGACTTGGATTGACATTAATGTTAATCAGACAGAAAGTGTAATCTTTTAACACCCAAAAAAGTTGGAACATTGCACAACAGAGACTCATTTTCAATCTAACTGAGTTTATCATCAATGCAAAAGACATAAATACCCTCATAAAAAATAATCCCTAATCAAGAAATTCAAGTAGGAAATATCTATGTTGCCCAAACATATAATGACTTCAATTTTGAAAAAAAAAAAAAAACAATATATGAGTCTAAAGAGGTAGAGTCTAAAAACCTTTCAATAAACTCAGTTTTTCACTAAACACAATTTAATCCACAATTATTACACACTAAATATGTTCTTACTTCTTACCCTTGATGACTTTCACCTTGAACTCCATTCTTACTCCTCAAAAACAGCTTTTCAAAACTGTTGTTACTTTTAGAATGACCAGATGAAGTTGAAGAAGAAGAAGAAGATCCTGGTGACTCATCATCCATTGAAGGACTGCAATTGCTTTCATCTTCTTTTGCAGGAAGCAAAGTCTTCTTAGGCATGAAAGTATCATTTGAATGCAATTTCCATAGCTCAACTCCAGTTTTAGTTTTTGTGACAGATGATCCATTAGAAAAACCAGGGAGATTTGCAGTGTCGATCAAAAAGTCTTCAAGTGTCGCTAAAGATTCCAACTGTCGTGCAAGTGATGATATTGTTTTTTGGCATTCAGATAGCCTATCAGCTGCTGCCACCTCAAGATCCTGTAAAAAATGAATCTTTTTCTTATTTTCAATATAATTCATCATCAACCTCTTTCAAGATCATGTAAAAAAGCATCACTTGCTTAAAGAGAAAAAGAAACAGGCATAAGAAAGCTTACTTGTTTCACTTTTAATTCACCATTTGAAATGGCAGATTGCTGAAGCTTAAACTCCTCACTTTTCTTCATAACTTCCTTCTCTAATCTCTGACATTTTATTGTCATTTCAGATGACAAAATTCTTTCCTTTTTAATATCTTCCTTTATCGAATTATTTTCTGTAGACATGATTTGGGCCTCCATTTCCACATCAACAAGTCTAGATTCAACCGACTTCTTTGACTCATTCACCATCATCAGCTCCTTTTGGAGGTCAACCATTTGACTTTTTGTCTCATCAAGAGTTTCTTTACTTGCATTCAAAGCGTTCTCAAGTTCACCTTTTTCAGCCTCTAACTCTTCTAATTTCTCTTCCAATTCACACACCTTCATTCTCAACACTTCAACTTCACTTTTCATATCTTCAGTTTCAGAATTGCAACGCGATGTTTCATTCTGAGCCTCTGATAAAGAAGCAATTCGCTCCATTTCCAAGAAATCATCCATAATATTACTAATTTCAACGTTTTTTGCCACAGATTTTCCACTTTTGAATTGATCCAGCTCAGCAATTAGCGCCGATGCCCATGAATCATCACTTTCATTATGCTCAGGTTTGTTGACTTTGAATGAGTCAACATCTAACTTTTCTGATCTGTCTGATTGACTGTCTGTGAGAGAGTCAACATAAAAAGAAGAAATCGAAACAGCTTTATGATTATTATTATTATTATCATTAACAGAAGGCAATTTTCGAGTCAATGAAGTCAACTTCCTGCATTCT